TTAAACAAACGAACACAAACAAAGTGTTGCACTTTGCTCGTTCATTTACGTTCGACAATCCGTTCATTTATGTTCGTTTACATTTGGAAATTCGTTCGTTTATGTTCATTTGTTTAATTAAATTTATATTATATTCGTTTATCTATATTCTTTTAAAACTTTTTGCATGATTTAACATAAAATTACGTTTTATGTTCATTCGTTTATGTTTATTTGTGTTCATTTATCATTTTAACGAACTGACATGAACAAGCTACATTCCTTAATGAACGAACACAAACAAAAAACTTTGTTTTCATTTAGTTATTTGTGTTCGTTCATTTATTTGGTTAAAGTTAAACGAACAAACATGAACATACCCTCATTTGTGTTCATTCATTTATTCGGTTAAAGTAAAACGAACGAACATGAACATACTCTCATCGTGTTCGTTAATTTTTTTTTGTTAAAATTAAACGAACGAACATGAACGCACGCTTATTTGTGTTCATTCGATTCATTTACATGCCTAAGCTTCATATATGGTTTTGAGGGTTTTTTTATACTAGAGGCTTTTCAGATTAGTGTGTAACTGAGACGCTTTATGCTATTTGTGTTCGTTTATTGCATGTCAGGGAGTACATACTCGAAGGAAAGTTCTACAGTGCGACACTCTTAATATACAATTAAAAAAATGAGTTATCGATTTTGTTATTATTTAAATAATAAAACGATAAAAAATTACCTAAAACATTATTATTTCTATCTAAAACATTAATATTTTTTAACATTTACTATGTCTATTCTCTGCTTTTAGCCCCGTGTACTTAGAGATAGGTTACAAGACTATTATAATACATTGCTGAAATGTAACAACTTACAGTTTTCTAAGAATTCCATTGAATATATTTATCACAAAGGTTCTAAGGATCAATTGTCCATGTTGTATGAGGTCCAATGACAGGGATACACATAGACGGCGGGTGGAGATAATCGTCTCTTAAAAATTTTAAATTCTTATATATTTTGAATACTTTTTTGTATTTTCTATTGAAAATATATTTTTATCACCTATAATTTTATAACTTCTCCCATACTTAAAATTTTATACGTTCTTCCTCCAAATATGAAATCCTACGTCTGTCCCTGTCCAATGGGTACGCATTGTTTATGAGAATATGCGAGAAACTATAAAATTGAGGTGATTAATAGTAGAAGGGACGGACGTAAGATTTTATGTTATGAGACGAACTTCTAAAATTTTAGGATGAAACTAATTTATAAAATTTAAAAGAGGACGAAGTCATATTATTGATAGAAAAAATTTAAAATATATAATAATTTAAAAATTTTAGTAAATGATTGTCCCCGTTCGACCCTTCTTCGATCCATCCCTGATAATGCTCTATAGTTTGGGTTCCATAATCAGGTTATTTGAGTTTTTCAAGTAGTAATTCCATGGGTGATCTATATTTTGTATTTCACAACGCCATATAATTACGATGCTTATGTACTATGGCTTTTATTTCCATTTTCAAAGTATTCTTGAATTCTAGCATTATATATTATTTCATATATTATAAAAGTTTGTGTAAAATAGTCCCTCTATAATTAAATAGACCAATTTAGTCACCGTACTAATAAAAAATCAAATAACAGATCAATTTAGCCTTATTTCATTCTTTTAATTAACACATTAACTAAATTGACTCATATAAGGACAGTTGAGTATATTAGTAGGTAGTATTGTTGTAAAACAATAACATTAGTATTGACTAGCAAGTAATAATAAAATAATAAAAGAAATTAACCCTAATTTTCTAACTTAAACCTTATGTCATCAAGTACCAAAGTAAAAATTGGAAAAATAAATTAAGAGTTAAAATTGAGTGTAAGTGGATCCTAATTCATATAGAGGTAGGATTCATTTACACTGTGTAATTTTGTTTCAGTTTTATATCCTTTTAAGATCGTTGTACGAGTAAAAACAGATAATTAAGGTTAACAATAAGAAATCTTATTCTTCGTTAGTATTGAGAGGTTGCCTTCGATTCTCTTTGCTTAATTTGAGAAGATATTAACCGAAAAAAATAAGGAGATAATTTAATTGTTTATTTTCATTTTTCAAACGATCCTTTAAAAAGATGTAAGTAGATCCTAATTTATATAGAGACCCATGATCCGTTTACATTATGTAAAATTTATCAATTTTATATATTTTAAGATCATAAATCAAAATAAACAAATGAGATTAACAAATAATAAATGAATATATATATTTATTGAATCATCAAAATTATCACTTTCGGTTTTGTAGGGCAAGAAATTATTGGTCGTTTCGTGGATTCAAATTGTGGTTAAGGTCATATTTTCGGTTGCGTTATTTTTATTGCGATTGTAGATAATAGATGTTATCACAGTGAGTGTGGGTAACACGATCATACAATAACAGTTTCAAAGTGTATCATTAATGATATATAACGGGTGCTATTACGATAATAAACTGTTATTTAAATCCATGATTGTTTGTGCTTCTTAAGGCATGCAGCGGTAGCATTCAAATTGCAGGCTTAGCAGTGTCCGTCAGCTGGTGGTTTAATTTCATTCATCTTCCTTTTCAAATACAAAGAAAAAGGCAATTATTAGAGCCCATAATATTTGCCATTTTGTGGATGCAAAGCAACGCCTTCGGAATAAGTAATTGTAGAACAAAACCCAAGTTTCTCGTGATCTCCTTTTTCAATTCACCGCTCCTACTCTCCAATCCCTTCAACTGTTTCGTTTTCTCCTTTTCCCAACTTGATTTTTTTTTCCTCTTGTTAACGAGTTTAACTTAGATTTTGGTTAGCAGAACAAAGACCTGAAATGCAGCGTTTCCTTTGCTTTCTCATTCGCCAACTATAAGCCGCCATAGCCCAGTGGCCAAGGCCGAGAAAGAAGAAGGAAAAAAGCCAAGTTGGCTGTCAATTTCAGATTTTGCGCCCTCTATTAAGCTCAAATTTTGATTTAGTCCCTCTACTTTGTTTGACATAATTGTCAGGATTGAATCAAGAAAAAACTAAAACCGATTCAAACCGGAATATTCACTACGATTTTGGCTTGGTTTTCTTAAAGTTGGGTCTGTTTAATATACAGTTCAATTTGAATGGCATGTTAAACAATTATAATGACCTTAATAGACCTGAATTTTATTTTATATTTCGTTCATAATCCACTTTTATAATATATAATAGATGTTTTATAATATTAAATTAGTGAAAGTAATTTTAAATTTTATATAAAAATTAAATTTAAAAAATTAAATTTTGATGAATCAAACCGGTTCGATTTGATAAATCATTAATATCGTTAACTATTCTAATTTAAAGTGATTTTTTTAAAGAAATCATCCATATTATAAATGAAATGTTTAATCGTGTTAAAGTTTGCAGTAACTAATTATATTATAAAAATATACGATTAATTATATTACATAAAATATAGAGGATTATATATAGATTTAGTATAATAGAGGGACCATACTTAAAATTTGACAGAAGTGGACTGTTTCAACTTTCAACAAATTAAAAATAATTGAAACTCTCTCTCTCTCTCTCTCTCTCTCTCTCTCTTCACGTGAGAGAGTAGAATTGCATGGAGAAGATGAAAGGCGTACGTGGCAAACATGCAACTTAATGAAAGAAGATATGCAGATTACTGACTGCTAATAATAATCAAAAGCGTAGGTCCTACGCCAACCCTGGCTACCATCGTATACTTGTTTGCTTCGTATTTCTACCGTCTCCCCTTTGGCGTTTTGCTTTCAAACTTGCCTTTACCCTCGATCAACATGTGAAATTTGACCACGTATAATGTGATTAGGATAACGTATCATTTTATATTAAGGTTGAATTTATAAAATTTTAGGATAAGATAAAATTCTAAGGAATTAAAATAAATTATTAATTAAAAATATAAAAAAATATCTAAAATACATATTAATTTAAAATTTTAAAGAAATTTCTCCTATTTCGATCCATCCTACATTCGATGATATCGGACTCCACCTTGTCAATTTACACTTGTGTTTGTGCTTCTTGGTAGTTTGCAATGGATATTGCTTAATACTAAACTAGATACAAAGTTTTTTTTAGAGGCTTTATATAAGACTGTTGTTAAAACAATTAGATTATCATAAATGAATCTCACTAAAAATATCATCTATAGGTTTATACTATGAATTATGAGATTTTTTACAGTTAATTTATCTGTTAATCACACGCATGAATTACGAATTTCTTCTCATGATTTCAACTTATAACCTTTATCCTGTTTATGTGGTGTTTAGCATATTTAATTCGATTATATATGTGATGGATGTAAAAAGGTGTTTCTGGATTTACTCTCCATACTGGGTGAGGACAGATGAGGCATATGGTGGAGGGCACCTTGACAGCTTATAAAGATGAGATTGGGACCATGACCAACACTCAACCGGAACCTTATGCTATCAATGGAGAAATAGTTAGGTTAGATAAAAAAGGCTTGCAATCTACATACTTCAATTATCCCCAACCCCAGCTTTCAATTAAATGATGCTCAGTAGCTACTAACCATATCTTTCAGTCTTCTCGTGTCTCTTCAATTTCATATATATAAGATGGAGGATAAACGGACTAAAGAATGTAATGAGTAATGTCTTAGAGCAAGCGAGTTCCAGAAAGAGATAGATCTCCTCTTCTTATTCGCATAGGGTCTATATATAAACTCTTAGTGCTGACGTTAGGTTTAGAGTGATAATGACTATTTGTAGGTTGACGAGGAGAGTAAATTTAACCATCATATAGTAGGTTTAGCAGTGATAAGATTGACAACACTCTGTTCAAAGGACTATAACTGTCCGGAGGATATAAACTCTGAAAATTTTAGAAACTCCAGAGGCCTCGATGGGCCAAAAATCAACAACAGAACATGCTTTACGGAGAAAATTCGATGAAGATACAGCAATATTCAAGTTCACTATCCATATTGCAAATTCCTAAAAAAAATAGGAACCACGGATTAAAGCCTCAAATTCCGAATACAAAAGTTTTCAGACAGTTTCCCCCACAAAAAGTTCATCCACCACTCTGTTCAACAAAACCTTAAAAATGGGTCTTCATAAGTTGGACGTCGTCCATAAATAAACTAAAGAATCAATCCACTAAACCTAACATACAACATCTCCAACACTTTACCTTATTATCGTTTGTCGTCCTGATGAAGATGCTTGGAATCAAGACTTGGCAATGTGCATGCATCAGGCAATGTTGATTGTGAAGGAGACGTAGGGATGGGCGTCTGCATCACCTCCTAAACCTGCTATTGCTCCGCCTTCATCTTCAGTCTTCCAGTCTATGCTGGCATTTTAAGTAGGATCAGTATCAGTGTTCAGAATAGCTCATTTCAACACAATTAACAGTTCAAATAACTCACATCAACATGGACCGTAAAACAGATACAGAAGAAACCAAAAGAAAGAAAGGCTGTTTACCTGTTTGAGCTATTACATAATCCTTCAAGGATGGATCGAACTTTCTTCTCACTCTTAACGGACGGTGACAAAACGCATGCCTGATAATCAGCTCAAAACCAGCACTTAGTCGTCAAGCGAATTTTGGTTCACAAATAATTGTAGAAATGAGAGAGTTAATCATACCAGGAAAGATGGCGGCAAACCGTATCTCAGAATGCTCTCTGCAAAGAGACATACAGCACAAAAGTGCATCCAGGAGCTGAAAACCTACAGGGGAGCAACTCATTCGAAAAAACTGTTCAAAATATGGCAAGACTTGAGGGATTTCACAGGAAAAAGGAAGGAAATAATATAATACCTCCCCATAACTAGTGTAACACCATTGCAAAAGAGAGCTTCTCAAGCTATCTTGGTCTTGTGCCAATTTCTCTAGTTCCTGCTTTCGACTTTCTTGTGCTTCTGGACTATATTCAAAATCACGAATCTGTAAGACATCAAAAGAAATGCAGCAACAATGGAAATAAGACATCATCCAAGATAATCATTTTTTGACGCGCCATGAATAAGATTACCCAAAAGAGATCACTCATATAAAAGAAAATGCAAATGCAGCCATAGAATGCACTCACTTGGAAGCCTCTTTCACATGCACTAGTTATGAAATTATCAGCAACACGACCAAATAATGTGACAGTGTAAAGAGCAGATTCATTATCTTCATACAACTTCTTGGAGGACTGAGGGACCTGAGATCACACAGCTATGTTACTCAGAATTACCTCAACGAACAATAAGAAAGTTCAACAAACTATAAATTAACAAGATTAATGCTATAAAGATGAGTACTATAACCAGTAACAGAAATTAAAAAAAGAAGTTATAACTAAGATGCAACAACTAACGATGTTCAGTCATCAATAAACTAGAAATATTTTCCTAAAAACTGAATCCTATTGCTCACGTCACCGGGAATAAAGTCATAAACCTAAACAACTAGTCAGCATCCAAAGATTCTGCCATACCTGAGGTTTAGAAATATCACAAGAATGACTGCTCGGTGAGGCGGTATTGTATATGAAAAGCAACAATGATTTTGACAGCTAAAGTTAGAACTTTAAACCACGGATGATATTGCTTACCACATAGCTAGTCAATGTTTCATAGCTTGACAACCAATCCTTCTGTGAATACTTAGGAACAACTGCGAGGAGAGTCACTAGGTGTTCTGAAGTAAAAATATCCTCCGGCTTTACTAGATTAGACAGATCACGAACAGCCAAGCTAAAACATGCAGAATTCGATCAGCTATTAAAAGTAAAATATTCTTTGCATATGCAGCAATCAGACGCTGAAGTAAAAGGCATACCTTCCACTTTGCTTTCTGTTTATGGCATTAAGTTGCCCACGCACATTGTTATACTCAGCAACACGAACCTACATAATAAACAAACACTTCAAGACTAGACTTCACTCGATACATTAAGAAACTAATATGTATATATGTGTGTAAATCAGAAATTCAGCGAAGAAATTACCTTGAGATCATCCTCAATCTTTGCCAGTAGAGTGTGAATACTGTCAACAATCTCCCTCAAAGAGGACACTGTCGGGTATTTTGCTTCATCCCAAACAAACCTGCCATCAATGAGTTGTCCATTAACAACCGACGACATCCATGACTAATGCCCATTTCATTCACCGGATTGAGCAAGATTTTACCTCGTAAGATAAGAATCAACGGGGACCCCATCAACAGAGAGAGCATTGCTCTCCAACCCCGAAACTCTCTCTAGTTCCTCGATCTGCCTCCTGATTTTGTGAGAAACACCTTCGATAAAGGTGTTTGACTGTTCATACATCAAAATCAGTTATAGAAGTTGAACTAATTGTATATATATCGTCTTAAACGAATCAAAACACATGAATCACGAAAAGGTGTATAAATCAACAAAGCTGATAAAATCATATTTCACTTTTTTTAAATTATCAGCAACACGACCAAAATCAGTTAAGAGTTCATATTTGATGAGAATGTAGAAAAATATTACATCTGATTCTAAAGAAATATGATAAGCTTTATGTTGCATTAGCCAATTTCATGCATCGTTTACTTATGGTGTTGGATTTGATACGACGCAGCTTTCTATTTTGCAACCTGTACTATGCAATTGCTTTGTTGCATTGGCTAAATTTTATTTTTTGCAGGTCTTTCGAGTATGATACTGATAGGGAAGCATTTACCAGTGGGGCTTTGAACTCATTCGGTCTCTCACTTTGCTCAGTCATGCAAGAGACTCAAGAGGTTATCACTCTCCGGCCTTCTGACCGATCAGGTTTTTCTTTACATCGGAATGTATGCCGAGCAGCTTGAAATGCTGTCCATCGCTTCGGCCTCCGACTGTGACAAAGGAATGCTCTCTGTGTTGAATGGCTGCAAGAAACTCTGCAAGCTTGAGACCCTTTGGTAACGCAGCACTTCTAGAGGAGTCAGGAAAGTATGAAACAATGCGATCCCTTTGGATGTCCTCATGTGAAGTTACCCTCGGAAGCTGCAGGATGGTCTCTGAGAAGATGCTGAACCTTAATGTGGAGATCATAAACGAAAGCGACCTAACAGAAATCAGCCTCGACAATGGGCAGAAGAGTAAACAAGATGCATCTATATCGAACACTGGTCGGACATAGGAAAGATGCACCGGAACGTGTGTGGAATTTGTAGGTGCATTGTATTGGCTATGCCATGTTTGTTTCCTGCTTATATTTAAGTAGTTGTACTTTGTTGGCACTTGGCACAACTGATTCCCATGTATGCTTAGTTATATTGCTGTTTAATGTACAAGAGAATTGCTTATCTGCAATCCTTGTTGTATTGTAAATGAATCTGTCGAGTATTTTCCAGAATCAAATTTATCAAGTACAGGAGTACCCGCTTGGTGGCTGAAGTACACATCCTGAAGCTGAAGATGTGTTCTTTGTCAAGTTCTAAAAGAAACTGTCTGGACAAGAACAATCTTTGAATAGTTTTTCCATTCTGACTTGGAATTGGATGACACGGGACTTGAACCGTAGTAGTCTGCGATGTTAACGGAATTCTTTATCACCCTAACTACAACCTCATTACCGAGTTCGATAAAACTTGGACATTTAAGTGAACGATGGAGCAATGAACCATGAGAAACACCAGCATGCTGATATCCAACACATATGATACAAATAACATGATATACAACAAGAACCGAGAGCAGCCTGTATCTATAATGCAAACTTGGATTTATAAAGTTTTTAGTAGATAAACTACAATACAAGCATATGATTGTAGAATGGTAAAAGACTCAAGGAAGTGCGAAGCAGAATTTTCCTCGATCAACGATTTATAAGCAGAAGCAGCAGCATTCCTCCAACACGCAGCAGCAACATAGAGCAGCCAAACTGCACATATATAAACAATGCATTATCCCATCAATATCAGTTCTGAGCAAACCATCCGAAACATGCATGTCATCTAAATGATGGTCTATTAATGATAACTGATAAAAATCTAGCCAACAGACACTATTGTTCAAGTTTAGTTGTTAATTGAAGCCTAACAACACTGTAAACCACAAGGAAACTATACAGTCTGACTGCCAAGCACATGTTCAAGCATGAATTACTAATGTAATTACCATTAGCCTATGTTATACGGAATTGAGTGTGAGTTTCATATTATAGTACGACACAGATATGGTTAGGTCTTTTTAAGTTTTTTTCAATGCATATGGATGTGTTGGGCATGAGTACTGGACACAAAAAATGAAGAGCAATGTAGCCATAGGCTCTAACCGAAATGGCCAAGAAAATGCCAGACCAATTCCATACGAGTACTGAACCAAAAAACTCAAAGGCGATATCCCTATCAAAGGGAGGGGTTTTGTCCTTAACAAGTCCGCTAGTGTTGTACCTCTAAAGCAAATCTTAAACTACTTGTGAAAATCATGATGGCAAATCATAGCCTCCACAAATGTCACATTTTACCTTGATCAATTCAAGGATTTGGTCTACAAATATATTAACAATCAATACTACATAAAACTCTTCATGTTTAACCGGGGGAAAAAACAATGGAGAATGGACTTCATGTGTGAAAAAAAATCCGATTTACACTCGCACATATATGATGCTTATCAGAACTAAGAATAATGCTATGGAGGATACATAAGAACTAAGGATCAAATAAAGGAAATATACTTATGCAATATACACAAAGCTCTATCAAATCCTAAGAACTTCCAAGAGAGTGATGACGCAATTGAAATGAAGCAATTTACATACAAAAAGGGTAAGATGACATAGAAGATAAGTTACATTGAAATTAACTTAGCCCAAGAGAACCAATTGCTACTGTAGTGCTCAATACATAAGAGAAAGTTTCCCCTTTTAAAATTCCTAGTTTCTTTTGCGTTTGGTCAAAAAATTCTTTTAGCACACCCAGTTCCGTAGCCCAATACTAAAAATTAAAGCTTGAACTATGGAATTGTAAAATAAACATATTAAGCAACCAAAATTAGAACTTTTAACACCAAACAGATGAATCGATGAAATAAAAAAGGGGAAAAAATACGTACCAGCCTTTTAAGAAAGATAAACAGCCATCATCATAATGATTCTGGTGATGGTGATGCTCGTAGTGGTGGCAGTGTTGGTATTGAGGATGACCAGGTGGCGGCGGCGGTGGTGGATACCCTTCAGAAAAATACTCTTGGTAACCCTCGTACGGCGGGCGTTGCTGCTGAGGATAACCAGGAGGCGGAGGCGGATATCCTTCGTAAGGCTGGTGAGACGGAGGTGGTGGTGGAGCAGAGGGGTAGCCAGGTGGGGGGTAAGGAGAGGCGTAGCCTGTTGTTTCAGTCAACAGTTAAAAAAAATTGAATAAACGACAATTAATTAAGGAAATCAAGACAGGGAAAGGATTAAATACCAGGAGGAGGATAAGGATCTTGAGGAACTCGCTGATAACTCATATTACTTCTGCTTCTGCTGCTGTGCAGATGATGTAATTTGTCTTCCTCGATGAGCCGTAGGTTTTTTTTTTTCCGGGAAAATGAACAATGGAGATCGGTGTTCCAACTTCCCTTGAGAACAGTATTGATATTTACTGGGAGGGTTTTGGTTTTTTGGTTGGCAATGGCAGCCTGTTTCCAATGGTTTTCTTCCACGTTACCTGAATTATAGCAACTGTAAAGGCTAAAGTTTAAAATAAAACAAAAAAAATGTCAAACCAACTCAATTAGAGGAACAAGTCACGAGCTTGTTTTCAGAACCGGATCGATTAGCGAACCGACCATGCTACCGATTCACTGATTCAATCGGTTGAATCGATCTGATCGGTCAAAAGAACCGGATAACGTCATAATTATTTAAAAAATTAAATAAAAATATCAAAAATATTTAATAAAAAATATTTTTTTATATCACAAGTTATATTCAAAGCAAGTCATAACATATATAAATTAAAAACCATAAAATCAAGTGAAACAAAATGATTCAAATTAACTACAACATAATATTTAAGGTAAAACATATTAAATAATAAATATAATTATATAACTATAATTAAAAAATAAATTTGGGGCTAAAAAAATCATAACAAAATGATATTGTTTGGTTTATTTTTTTTTAAAAACAATCTCACATGACTAAGAAACATAGAAGAGCATCCCAAAAGTCTAAAGAGTAAAAATATGAAAACAAAACAATCCCACATTGCTAAGAAACATAGAAGAGCATCACAACTAACTTCTATAAATAATAGAGGTAATTTGACATTCAAAATCATGGAGCCTTTTGGTGAGCATTGAGTGAACTATTTTTTCACTTCAATCAAGCTCGAATTTTAGGCTTCAATTGAGCTTCTAATTTTTTTTTATTTTAAGCCTTTTTGAGTTCAAGTTTCAATATTATATTTCGAGTTCGAGTTGAACTTGATAATTTTTAACTTGTGAGTTTGAGTGGAGTTAAGCTTACTTTTAAAGTTTTCAAGTTCGAGTCGAGTTCAACAATACTCGAGTTCGACTTGGCTCGTTTAACAAACGACATTTGGTTTAATTTTTTTTTAAAAAAAACAAAATTCCTGGTTTTTCCTGTTTTCAGTCGATTTGGTTCGAACGGTTTAGCGGTTCTGATCGGTTCACTAATAACGGTTCAACCGATTTAGATTAAACCGGACTAGGAAACAGTTCCCGGTTGAACCAGTCGGTCCGATCCGATTTTCAAAACAGAGGTCACAAGACACGGCTAAGCAACCTGGCTAATAATTTCAATTACATATTAATAAAAAATAGTATTCACATTTGAATATTTTTTTATTAATATGAGGTATGTACACGGTAATATTCATTTTGATATTGAATATTTATATTTTTTATATTCATAGTGATTAAACTCAAGACCTTAAGAAATAATAATAATAATTCTTTTACCATTGTTTGATTTGTATTTTATTAAAAGTTAGAAAATGTTTAATGAATAGAGTAAATTACATTCACTGAACTATACTTTATCTCTCTCTTATTTTCCTCACCATATTTTCAATTTTTTTAATTTACTCATTGAACTTTAGAATTACTCCTATTTTGATTACTTTGAATTATTTTTGTATTATTTTTGTATTATTTTTGTATTACATGGCATTTTTTATTATTTAATATAAAATAATTGAAAAAGGTTGGATGCCATCGTCGATCACTGTCGACCACTGTAGATGGTGGCAGTTCGGTCTCAAATTTTATGGGTCGCTTCGTCTCGACACTAGGAGTCTAAATCTGTCCTCTATTTTGTCTGAACTTGCTCTGAAGTTCACGAATTACAGATCAAAAGTGAGGAAGCCGAAATATTTTAGTCGAGATTCGTGGGTTTTGAGACATTTTTTGGTGAAACAATCACCAGATTCAGACTCAGTGGGTCGAGACGAACCGATCCATAAAATTTAGGACCGAACGACCATCATCTATGGCTGCTGACGATGACATCCAACCACATTCCGTTTTTATTTTATATTTTCAACTATTTTATATTAAATAATAATAAAATACCACGTCATACAATAATAATAATAAAATAATTCAAAATGATCAAAACAGGAGCAATTCGAAGTTTAATGAATAAATTAGAAAAATTAAAAGTACACTAAGTAAAATAAGAGATAGAGTATAATTCAGAATTGTGAATTTTACACTAATAAATAATACAATGCAGGTTGGAAATGGATGGTGAAATTTTCTAATGTGACGAGTATTGTGGTTAATAACAATGATGATGGAAATAATGTAGATGACGGCGGCGCAAGTGAAAAGATACACCGGTTGTTAATTACTCAAAAAGATTTGAAGTTTTGTTAAATAAATAGATTAGTTCAATATGTGACGTTAATGCATCTTATCCTTACGAAGTATCTCTGTTTCTTGACAGTACATAGACATAATTGAGGAGCGGAGGAGTACAAGGAGCAGCATGAAAGAGAAAGTGTGTGTCAAGGAGACAGCCTACTACCCACCAAATGTATTCAAAGAAAAAAAACCTCTTGGAAGGAGCAGGCCTTGGCTACTGACGCCAGACAGAATAGTGATTATCCTGTAGGTTAGTTCCGACAGACGATTCACAAGAGAAAATTCGCCCAAAAACCAGAGAAAAAAAGTCTCTAGGGTTTAATAAAATATTATAAAATCAAACAAATGCCAAAAAGCAGTCCACAAGCCGGACTGTTATAGCAAAAAATCGTCTTTATTCGAATTTTGCCAAAAATAGCAAAATCCCGAAAATCACTCTAAATTGAAATTCGAAATAAAATAAGCAATCTCCCAAAAATCCGGCCTAAATCGGATTTAAATTGACTTCCTAATTAACAATCGAAATATTACCATAAAATAGTAAAAAATAACTAAATCTAGTTATGGCCAAAAGACTGAAACATACTCAAAACGACCCCAATGAGGAACATGTCACAATCAATTCCCGCCTTTGCGCTGATCTGCCAACTCATGGTATCTCAGCGCCATCAACGTGCAATCTGACAGCTCAGCATCATCTGTCTCGGATCCCCCTGCATCAGTCACCCCCGGGTTGGAAAGAACTCGTCCTCGAGTTCAGAGTAGTGTCATCAGGATCCACAAAACAATGACTCAGGTGCTTCACATTAAAGACATCAGAAGTCTTCAAGTGACTGGGAAGTCGCAACCTGTAAGCATTATCATTGATCTTCTGCATGACCTCACAAGGTCCAATCTTCCGATCCTTAAGCTTATTATACTCACCAACAGGAAAACGATCACGAGTTAATACAGCCCAAACAAAATCACCAACATCAAAAAGTACCTGACGACGATGATTGTCGACCCGAGTCTTGTACTTGGTATTGCTCTCATGAATGGTCTGTTTCACCTGCTCATGGATACCCCGAAGATACTTTGCCATCTCATCTGCTTTAGGACTGAAACGTCCTATACGTGGAATAGGGGCTAAGTCCAACACCCCGGATGGGTTCTGACCATAGACAATCTCAAATGGGCTTAAACCTGTGGTTCTGTTTTTTGATCTGTTGTAGGCAAATTCTGCCTGAGGCAATGCCAAATCCCACTGCTTCGGCTTGGTTCCTGCCAAACACCTTAAAAGGTTTCCCAAACTTCGGTTCACCACCTCAGTCTGGCCATCCGTCTGGGGGTGGTAGGCGCTACTGAAATTCAACTGCGTTCCCAGTTTCCCCCACAGGCTCTTCCAGAAATGACTGATGAACTTAGTATCACGATCTGAAGTGATGGATCGAGGAATACCATGTAAACGCACAATCTCCTTGAAATAGAGATGGGCAATCCGGTCAGCATCCATAGTCTTTCTGCAAGCTACAAAATGAGCCATCTTGGAAAACCTGTCAACCACAACAAAGATAGAATCAGAGGCCCTTTGGGTGCGGGGTAAGCCTAGTACAAAATCCATGCTGACATCGAACCAAGGAGCTTCAGGAACAGGTAAGGGAGTGTACAATCCCGCATTGGTGAGAACTCCCTTAGACCGCTGGCACACATAACAACGGTCTACATAATGGGCCACATCACTAGTCAACTTGGGCCAATAAAATTCAGAAGAGATAAGGGCCAATGTCTTATCTCGGCCAAAGTGTCCCTCATTATGGAGTTCACTTATAATTTGCTGCCTCAATGAACAATCTGGAATGCACAATTGTAATCCACGAAACAGATACCCATTATGCAAAACAAAATCATGACGGTGACCCTCAGTTACCTCCTGAAATATCCTTCCAAAGAAAGGATCAGCTGCATACATATCTGTGAACGTCTCAAATCCTGCAACTTTAGTACTCATGGTGGTGAGAAGTAAGGTACGACGGCTCAGGGCATCTGCGACGCGGTTCAAACTCCCTGCTTGGTGCCTCAGCGTAAAAGTGAATTCTTGCAAGTATGCTACCCACTTGGCATGACGTCTACTCAGCTTGTATTGGCCATTGATGTACTTCAAGGCCTCATGATCGGTAAACAGAATAAACTCCTTTTGTACTAGGTAGTGACGCCAATGCTTCAGGGACTGAACTATGGCATAGAACTCCAGATCATAAGTGGAATAATTTTTCTTTGATCCCGATAGCTTTTCACTGAAAAAAGCAACCGGAGGACCTGCCTGACTCAGAACACCACCAATGCCAACGCCAGATGCATCACAATTTACCTCGAACACTTTGTCAAAATCTGGAAGTGCCAAAACTGGAGCCTCGGTCATCTTCTGCTTGACCAGTTGAAAACTGGCCTCTGCCTCCTCAGACCACTGGAAATCACGCCCCTTGAGGCACTCTGTGATAGGGGCGATCAGAGTACTGAAATTTCTAATGAATCGATGGTAAAAAGACGCCAAGCCATGGAAACTTCGGATGTCATGTAAGGTTATTGGTCTGGGCCACTCCAAGACTGCATCTATCTTTGACTGATCTGCATGAACACCATCAGTAGACACAACAAAACCAAGAAAAGTCACAGAAGTAGTGAAGAAAGAACACTTCTTTTGATTGACAAACAAGCACTCCGTTTTCAGCATCTCAAAAACAGCACGGAGGTGATCGAAGTGTGA